AAGTTGATTCATTTTGCTCTTCAATGTTTCTCATCAACAGGGGGTCTCCTTTGAAAGGCGCATGCTAGTGTCGTGTGTGGACACACATTCCAAGCTGCACATCTGCAGTGCCTGTCTTGCAGCGTGCCGTGGTCACTGTCTGGAGGGATTTGGTTCTCTCTCCCAGATCCCGGACAAGCACGTGCCTGTTCGCTGGTTGCTGAAATGTATGTGTCCTGCAGAGCTTTCGTCTGGTGAGTTGGGCCTTCATGGCTTTGACTGTCTGGTTCTCATCCTGCACGTCAGCTGGGTTTACAAGAGCAGCAGGAGAACACGCACTGTCCTGCTGGCATGTTGTCACTTCAGGATGAGTCTGCATGAAGGCCAGGTAGTGAGGGCCCAGGACGTGGGCAGTGTAGCACCATGCAGCCAGGGTGCCATCAAACACTACAAGAGGAGTTTGATAGCAGCTAGACTGTCACACGTGGACTGTCACACTAGAAATTCCTGAAGAGCACAAGACAATGACCAACAGTATCCTGCCAAGGATACACACAGAAGTGTTCTTTTGATATGAACATTGAAATTATTATAATTTTTGTTTTCCAGTTTTACTTGTCAAGGAAAGGATTTGAAACCATCTTCTATAGGTTAACCATGCTGAATATTAATGTCCTTTTTTATTGGCATCATTTTGCAGAACTTCTGTCTCCCATACAGTGGCTGGAACTGTGACCTCAAGAAGTTGGAACGAAATAATGATTTGTTTTAACTTGTTAAACATTGTTTGTATGAATGTGTCCACTCCACACAGATATACAGTTATACAAATAAAGGTTTTGCTTCCTGGGGAAATCCTCTTTTTTGCCACATGTTTATTCTTATTGTTTCTGGTCCGAATCCAGTGTAGATCGAGCTGTGGTCTTTTTGGTTCGATCTAAGTTTTGGTTTTCAGTAAACCCAGAATTTTCTACTCCAGCACCACTTGTAAAGAGAAACTGGCTTATTTTCAGTAATGTTTGTACTAATATTTGCTCTATGCATGGAGATAATACAAACAGAATGGCTTTGCCTCCTGAGAATACTCCATAGGGTATCAGTGATTTTGAAAGTCTGTGCACATTTTTTGTGCCACAATTGTTTAATTATTCTTATTTTTTCCAATCTGAATCCAGCATTGATCAAGGAGTGGTCTTTTTCATCGCATCTGTGGATGTTTTGTTTTACAATAATCCCAAAATATGCTACTCTAGCATGATTTGTGAGAAACTACATTATATTTACAGCATGGCAAAAAAAAGAGAATTGTAACTTGACTGAGCATTAAAAGAAACATCAGTCACTTTGCTGCAGGTAGCAATCAGGAAAATGACAATCCGTGTAGCAGGTGCACTGACATTTTATTTAACACATCTCATATGTCGGTTTGGTTTGCTGATTAATGTTTCTCATCAGCAGGGGGGTCTCCTGTGAATGGTGTGTGCTAGTGTCATGTGTGGTAACACAGTACGAGCTGCACATCTGCAGTGCCTGAGCAGAGCAGCAGTACACATGAACTGGGGACAACAGCTCTTGAAACGTTTTGTCAAAGATTTGCATTCTAAATGGCATGTGTTGTCTTCTCCCTTAGACAAAGAGAGCCAGTACTTGGTGAACACGACTGCTGCAAGTCCGGTTATAGTTTTGCCACGACCTGCCTGTTGCTGAAGCCTCGCTCCAGCGGGATTCGCTCTGTTTCCACAGCCGGTAAGTGTTGTCATTGTGCTCTTGTCTTGAAGTAAATTGTATAGGTATGGGACAAAAAAATGGAAACTCACATAAAAGGTTACTTAAGCTGTGGCAATAACCCCATTGCTCCCACCTCCAGTGTGTTGAGTGGAGCTTTGCCACATGGTCTGGATGCCTCAGATTCTAGATTGTGATTTAGGTTGCTAACCTTGCTGCTTGAGCAGAACAGCATCAAACTGAAATCTGCATCTCCTTTTATTTTCCTTCTGCCTTCAGACCAGTGGCAGAGCTAGTTGTGCACTCCTTTCTCTTGAAACCATTATACTTTGAGATGATGCTTGACTGATTACCTGCTGTCTGGTGCCATGCAAACCAAATGTGTGCATGTATTGATTGAATTTGCCTTAACATTCACTGGTGTCAGCTGAGTGTAGTTTATTTGCAGTGGCATTTTACATTTAGAGCACTATTGTGTTTTAAACTTTGCATCGACTGGAGCAATGTTAACATGCTTATTCTTTCTCATCTAGGACACTGATGGCTGCTTTGAAGTCTGGCTTTGCTGCTGAAACCTCATTCCACAGAAGTCCTAGTGATGGTTCTGCACCTGTTGCTTTGTATTTTCCTTTTGCACTGTGGTCAATAAACTGCATTTTGCTCTATTTGTTGCCTCTTCATTGTTTGCAGGCTTTGCTGCTCTTTGTGCAGAGAAGGAACCAAGGCAGGAAAGGTTGGGTGGGGCTTAGGCACAGCTCCTCCCAACACAACCATAATTTTGGAGAAAATCTCAAGATAGACAAAAGTTGGGCTGGTTTCTGGGGGAAGAGGGGCAGGGTTTTGAGGGGGGTAAGGTATGGCTCCTCCCCAAACAGGGAGATAGGCA